CGAAAATGGATGAATCAGTCGATCGATAAACTATTTCTGTGAAAATACAAATCCCCGTCAAGGTTGGAAAAAGTCGCAGCAAATATTTTTCTAGTTACCCCTGAGTAATGCATTTTGATATCTTTGTAAAGACAAATAAATAGGGAAAAACTGGAATGAATAACTCAAATACCACACACACAGATTATATATATATATATATATATATATATCTGTAGTCGATATTAATTTTGTCAAATTTTCTTGATTAATGCGGCCTTTTTATAAATGCCCCTCGGTTTTAGTTCCACCCGCCCCATCTCTCTCGCCCCACCCCTTTTTCTTTTTTTTTCTTTTCCTCTCTCTCTCTCATCTTCTGATCTTTAAGATTAGATTGACTATTGAGTGTGTATGACACCACAAAATGTATCCTTTCCGGTTACATCTTTAATGTATTAGACATCCGAGAATATTCATATTTCTCTCACTTAAACCGTCTTTGACTCCCCTCTCTAAAACTTCTCTCTGTTAAATTTTAATCCCCCCTTCATCTTTAGACCTTCCTGTTCTTCTCCTGTTCTTCTCTCGTCTCTTACCCCTCTCTATAGCTTTCATTTACTCTAACATTCATCCCACACTCTACTAAATACACTCTCACTAAATTGAGTTGTTTTTTCTGTTTTCTTTTTGAATTTGTAGGTCTGATGAATTGGATCGTATTTACGATTCCAATGGAATAAATTATGACCATGGAATAATAGTGTTTAAGCCTTTTTTATTATATATATATATATATGTGTATATATATATATATATATATATATATATATATATATATATATATATATATAGTGGACCGTTTCTCGATTTTATCTAGGTCCCGCTCTTCATATCACCTCAAGGTTATAGAGTCCTTGTATATCAGATATCCCGTGAGCCTTCACTCTATAAACAGAGGGGAATGCTTACTGGTTTGTATCATAAAAAGCTTTTATATATATTACAAGTTATTACTTACAAACATGTAATCACTACAAAGATGCATATTTGCTTCGATGCCTAAACAGCATTTCATCAGGTAGTGAACAAAGATGGTTATAAACGATTTTATTTAAAAATGCTAGTTATGAAACGTCATTTCTTTTAAAATAATCTTATGAACGTTTGAATTTATATTCTTTTTGTTCTCATTATATATATATATATAAAGTAATTCATCGAGTCTCGAAGAAACCTCAAAAGAATGCAGAAAGCACTGGACGGCCGTTTCGTCCTATATTTGGGACTCATCAGCAGTGCGCATCCACTACCGAGAATTGAAACCCGGACAGCTACATTGACAGGCCTCGGTGACGAAGAGGAAGCGAACTAGACTCGATATTGCGCCGCTCGTTCACATATTCCGTGGTGGAACTCATTCAAGTTCCTTTACCCAAATGACTGTGCCTCCGAGAGCCACGACTACCATCACGAAGCCGCTCCATCCGAGGCCCGTTACTACAGTTGGTATGACGTTTGCCTGTCAATGTAGCCGTCCGGGTTTCAATTCTCGGTAGTGGATGCGCACTGCTGATGTGTCCCAAATATAGGACGAAACGGCCGTCCAGTGCTTTCTGCATTCTGTTGAAGTTTCTTCTAGACTCGATGAATTACTTAATTATCTCAAATCCTCCTTAATTTCTATATATATATATATATATATATATATATATATATATATATATATATATATATATATATATATATATGTGTGTGTGTGTGTGTGAAGAAATATAGTTTTTATGGCGTGGTACATTTATGCAATAAATTGTTCAATATCAGCGACAGAGCGTATGTAAATATAAAAGGTGTCCTGATGATTGCGTTTACCATGAGACAATCTGTCGCCTCTGAGCGTTGTCTTTAATGTTCACTTATATATATATATATATATTTATATATATATATATATGAAAAGATTACGTAACTTTTAAATATCAATTTTATCCCGACATCAAAGTTTCTTGGTAGAATTCCCAGTCTTCAGTTCAGAGGTTGTAATTTTAAACGGTATTTCCAATTTTTTTCCCAAAGAGAGTGAGAAAGAGAGATATTTAGAGAGAATGGGAGAAATGGAGAGGGGGTGAGAGATACGTGGTGAGAGGAAGAGATTGATAGAAAGAGAGATATAGTGAGAGAAAGTGAGATATGGAGAGAGAAAGGAAAAAAGAGAAAGATGGTGAGAAAGAGTGAGACAGAAATAGAGATATAGAGAAAGGGAGGGAGAAAGATATATATGGCGAGAGAAAGAAAGAGAAATAGAGAGATATGCAGAGAGAAAGAGAGATAGAGAGAGAGAGAGATATGGTGAGAGAACGTGAGAGAGAGAAAGCGAGATATGGTGAGAGAAAGAGTGAGAGAAAGAGAGATATGGTGAGAGAAATAGAGAGATAGACAGATATGGTGAGAGAGAAAAAGGTTAACAGATATATTAAAATGAATGTTATTTTCATTTTCTTTCTTTTCTTCCTTTCTTTCTCAT